CCAAGAATGGGCCTGCACATATATCCATGCACGAACGATAAAAAATACTAATGTTTTTTTCAAAAGTTTCTGAAATAATCTATGCAAAAATACCTGACAGTTATTTGAGAAAAACTGAAGGCATTCCAGTAAAAGAACTGCTTAAAAATTCAGTACTTTACTACGAAAATTGCCATGATTAAAATTTTTAAAAATGGAAAAAAAATCGGCTAGTATTGCAATAAAATCTGTTAATTCTGAAGAAGGGAGTTGATTCAATTAAGTTCTACTTCTGTAATATTTTTTTAGGAAGAAATAAGATAAGAATGTAAATTTTCGGAGAGATTATGCGATGCGTACTTAAGTTAGCACAGGCAAAATATTTTATTTTAATTATTATGCAATTAAAAAGATTAATTTAATGACAACTTCCTTTTAAGCAAAACAATCAAATAGCACTTTTTTTCTCGCAAATATGGGTTACGCCGAGTTTAAATACTATAAATAATGAAATTATAGCAAAGCATTTCAAGAGCGAATTCCTCCTTTAACATATTTAAAAAAGATCCTTGAAAACTTCCACAGAACTGGTTATTATTATGGGGGGGGGAACAGAGGAAGAATGGGACAAGAGAAAAAGACACATTCGCAACCAACGGCTCGGAGATCCGAACTCTTTGGCACAAAAGAATCGACCGCGGAAGATACTCTCGGTCACGGACCACGCCCCACTTTTGACTCCTACCTGAAGTGGAAAATCACGTTTAATGTTCCTCCCCCCTTCTCTTTCTACTACATTCGCTCCGGTCATGTACACCATCGATTAAAACCGCTGAATGGAACGGTCACTAAGAGCTTCTCCCTGAGACACGACATGGCACTTAATGAGAAGAAAATAGTGTTTCCAAATAAAACTTGGAACATACGGTGGGAAGGAAATCTGTCGCCAAACCGATGATTTTGCAAGTTTCCGCGATCTTCGACTTCAGGAACTCGGAGATTGAGCCTGTCATATATGATATCATAAATTCACTACACATAAACCTTTTGCACATTGCTCTCACAGCGCAGTTTCCCAATTTGTTGCAATTACTATTTTGATATATTAGCATTATAACGATCTTAATTTCCCCCGAAAGAGAAGTAATATTTTTCTAATACCAAATGTTAAAACATATATTCTTTCTCAAAAGATAATAGCCCACTGTATCGCTAGTTCATTTCTGAATTTGCTCTTTTGTATGTTCAATGGTAGCTTCAATAACTTATGTGAAGTAATAAATCTGAAAAAGAGCATTAGGATTTTTTAAAATCAATATGAATGTAAATTTTTGTAACATTTTCCTAGAACTGAGGTTGATAACATTTTATAATAGGATTACAAGAAATTATTCATTGTTATCAAATTTGAGTTAATTTTTTGTATCAATGCTACAGCAATAAAATGTGTCTCAATAACCAAATACGAATTTTTTTAATTTTAATGTCAGAATATTCTTAAAATTTTCTAGGAATTGTGTTTTCACGTAGTTCAAGTGGGGAAGGGGGAAACAAAAACAGTAATTTAAATATTGTATGTATCCTGAAGTATACTTATATACTCCATGTATATTGTGGATGAAAAATGATTTGCAAAAATGATAGACTGATATTTTCAAAATTATTTCTTCCATTGCAGCTCTTTCAATTTAAAATAAAACCCAGTGCATAAGGCTAAGAAACCACCTGCTGTTAGTCATTTCATTTTTCAATACACAATAAAAAGAAAAATTCATTTACCTGAAAACAATCTTTATCATCATCAGGCTTGGTGCATACTCACTTTAAATGATACATTACTAATGTAAAAATGTTACTCTCAGTGTCAAGCCCACATGAACCCCAATGTGTTTATGATGATTAATATAAAAATTAAAATGAAGCTATATTCAAACTTAAGAGTAGATCTTGAAGATATTTCAAAGCAATAACTGCTACAAATATATTTTTTTTAAATTACATAGTTAAAATATGACCACCAGCAAAAAAATTATGAATAAAAATAGCACTACTGAAAAATTAGTGTTTTTATTTTTTTGTACAAAGACAGAAAGACACATTCAAAAAATGGAAACATTTTGTTACAGAAGATTTATTACCACATATTTCAATAATAAATTTGGTCTTGAACTGGCAGATTAGATTCAAAATATAAAAAATTTCTACAGGATTCCCTCTTTATCACAATTATAAATCTCACAGAAGTTATCTTTAAATAGCTAAAATCAGCCCTAAAAAGTAATCTTTAAGTATTTAGTTTATGCTTGACATAACTGAGTTGACAAAAATGAGAAATTTCAATTATAATTTAACATGACTTTTCCAAAGATATTTTCTCCAAATTTTCACTTTTCTTTGCACCAAACTTCCCCTTAAATCATGAAATAAATTCCATTAATCTTAATAATTAATTCTATTCCTACTTCAATATTTTTCATGCACCTTCTTTTATAACAAATTTGCTGCCAGGATAGGTATCTGAAATTTGAGCAGAAGCTGAGTAACATGGAAACATAACCTCACTATGCACTGTGACTAGTTATTAGATAATACCACCACATTGTATGGCAGCACATGATCAGTAGTGATCGTGTTAAAGTACACACCTAAAGAAAGATTTGGAACCAGTTAGTGGTAACAAACATGTGTATTTCCCACCACGGTCTAACTGTTAAAGTTATAGCATAAGATTTTCATGCTTTCTCTCTTGCAACATTTATATAGATCTGTTTCTCCTGTAAAGAACTAAAAAAAGCAAAAATGGAAAACTTCCAATATACTCTGTCAAAATCACATAATTCAATCTTACTGAAGATCTTGGATTTCAATAATCAAAAGTTGTGGCTGTCTGCCACAAATAAATTACACAACTGAATTATTACTGCCTACTGTTCACTCAATAACATATAGTATACTATGCTATTTGCTAATATCTTATATATACTGAAGATTCAGGAGTCGACAGCTTTTCTAAAATTTTAAAATCTCTGTGGAAATTTAAAGAAATAATTTTGAAAACACAAGTTAAATACAATGTAAGCTACAAAAACTACATTTATACATTAGTATGCAGATATTTTTTCATGATGACTCTTTCAAGAAGTCAACAATTCCCACACCAGGAGTCAAGCCTGAGACCTTCCTGCTGCAATATTGATATGCTGACTACTATCTCACAAGGATATATGGGCATAATTCATTCACATGCCCCCCTTCCTAAGAGGTGAATGGAGGAAGAAGTGAGACTCAGCTGGGAAAATCCAGATAGTGCTATCACCTACACCTTAGTTTGAGCAATACAGCCGGAGGAATTGAAAAATCAGCCATTCCCTCACCAGCAGTACTTATTAGAAAACTGTATGTGTGACAAAGTATTTAGATTACATCTGTTCAACCAAGTATATCAACAGGACTTGGCCATTTCACTTATTTAATCTTATTTCAATACACTATTTTTACAGACTTGTCAAAACAGCTGCCTATTACTCACCATAACCAAGCTATGATCACGATCAGAAAAGAAATCATGAAATTGTTGAGTAGAAACTGAGAAACATGTGAAACCAACCTGCACATTATCACAAATTTTACCAATAAATATGGAGATACAGAGAGATCACAAGAGGTCATGCTCAAACCCAGATAACATTTGCCTCACCAAGAGTAACATCAGCATTTAGGCCTTCTAAAGGAGGCTGAAACATTAGATGACAACTTTTTCATATTCAAACATCTAGTGATCACACAATCTGAATTTAAGACTTGACAGTACCATTTCAAGTCCCTGCTATACCTGAACAAATATCTATAGGAACAATGACTCCCTATGTCCTGTGAAAGCAGCTAATTTACCATTGCCAAATACTCCCCACATATATACAGAGTGTGAATGAAGAGAGCTTTCATCAGCTTAAAATTGACTTATATGTTATGTCAAAATACATTGATATTAGTATATAGCTGAGAGATGAACATATTTCGGTACTTATGTATTAACGCAACCAGGCCAAAATTCGCATAAATCGCCAAATTTGGCGACCCTACTTATGACAACCCTACATGTTATACGTAGTTTTTCGTAAAGAAATTATTTTTCTTACTGGTTAGATTGAATGCCCTGAAATACTTTAATTACTTTTTTGGTTACTGTACCTAACAGAAGCGCCGTTACTCTCATGTAAAAAATTTGCGAAAATATCAAGGAAGGAAGCATCATTTATTCGGATTGCTGGAAAGGATACAATACAAGTGAGTTCGAAAATGCTGGATTTCTGCATGGAACTGTTAATCACAAATATAACTTTGTGGATCCCAACACGGGCGTTCACACACAACATGTAGAGCACATGTAGGGCTCAGCCAAATGGCGCAACAAAAAGCACAGAGGAACAGCCCGTCATCATCTTGACTCATACCTTAACAAATTTATATGGCGCCAAGCTCAAGCTGTTAATGGCGAAGACGGTTTTCAGTCAAAAACTGTATTAAAAATTATCTGTAATTAATAAATGTACATTTTCTTTCTATTCATACTTTTTTACTCAAACTTACAAATCACGCCAACCTGGTTGCGATGATACGCAAGTACTCATATTTCTGTACCATAAAAATAATCTCTATATAATAATATTTCATAGTTTAATTGAAAAAACTAAAAAGATTAATATTACCAAGCGTTTTCAATGAAAAAAAAATTATCTCTAATCGCAACTTAAAACGTTTCTCTTTCAGACAACTTCTACTCTCTTTCTAGCCTATTCTTCTATTATTCATAAAGAATTAATGAAAATCTTTTTGGCCCTTCCTAAATTTATGATATACGTAGGCTATTCAGAAAGTAAGGAACATTTCCGTCTGATGTCGCCAGGCGCGCGCCGATCACATATATTTTGGTGTCTGCATGCTCGGCATCTCAGTTGGCGTCCAGCCATCACAACGAGAACATTTCCATGCTGCCCGTTTTTTCGATATTCAAATTTAAAATGTGCGCTGCAATTGAAAATCCTGCCAGTTGTGAGGTGCGGTCTGTGATACGGTTTTTGTTGGCAAAAAACCTAAAACCTATGGAAATTTATTGGCAAGAGTGTGAAGTGTACGGAAACAACATAATGAATGAAACTTCAATCCGGAAATGGTGCATTCAGTTTAAAAATGGCCGAACTAACGTTCACGATGAAGAGAAGAGTGGACGCCCTAGCATTGCGACTGACAAACTGGTCGCTAAAGTTGATGAAAAGATTCATGAAAACCGCAGTTTTACAATAACAAAGCTTTTGCCAAGTTTTCCACAAGTTTCACGGACTTTGTTGTTTGAAATTGTCACACAAAAACTAGGCTACCGCAAATTTTGCGCAAGATGGGTGTCGAAATTGCTTACAGACCACTATAAAGGTCAGCGAATGGGGGCAGCTTTGACATTTCTGGAGGCCTATGGCAGGCATGGTGATTCATTACTGGATCGAATCGTAACTAGTGACAAATGGGTGAGACAAGTGAATTGTGAAACAAGTGGGGGCATACAAGTTACCCCAAAAGACCAAGAAAATGTTTGCAAATCTTGACACCAAAGAAGATTATGGCGACTGTGTCTTGGGATAGGCTAAATGTGCTTCTGATTGATTTTCTCGAATGCGGTGCCACAATAAACTCTGAGTGGTACTGTCAAACTTTGCGCAACCTTAGGACAGCAGTTCAAAACTAGCGCCAAGGAAAGTTTATGTCCAAAATTTTGTTTTTGCACGACAATGCTCGACCTCACATGACAAACCGCACTCAAGAACTCCTTAATTCATTCAAATGGGAGGTTTTTCCTCATCTGCCCTATAGTCCCGATCTTGCACCTAGTGATTTTCACTTGTTTCCGAAGAACTGGCTAGCAACACAGCGCTTTGACGACTACAAGGAGCTGCGGGTGCGCGTCACTGAGTGGCTGAGATTGCAGGCGGCAGAATTCTATGACGAAGGAATTTCAAAGCTTGTCCACCGCTTTGATAAGTGCTTCAATTTGTTTGGTGACTACGTAGAAAAGTAGAATTTTAGTCGCTCTTTCTAATGCATATAATAATTTTTTTTCTTGTACTTAGTTTCCTTTTAATTCCAAAACGTTCCTTACTTTCTGAATATCCCTCGTACAAGTTCCTTACTTTCTGAATATCCCTCGTACAAAGATAAAAGCTATTTAGCACTACATAATCAAATGAAGCAACTGTTTTTGGTCTTGAAATGCTTTTGAAATTGTAAATCATGTCTGTGCACCTATGTGTAAGTAAAAATATAATATGTCAGTATTCTAAACAGTTTCAATTTCCATTTCCATATTTCTTCTGATTAGCTGTTTCACTGGCACTAGCTAGAAACTAGTTTCATAGAGTATTAAATAATAAATTTAATTTTCTGAAGCTACAAAGCAAGTTTAAAAATTAAATTTTTTACCCATATAGTTCTAATTTTAATGTGTTAATAAGTTACCTCTGCGATACTATTAGATTTAAACACAAATTTTTTGAAGCATGAAAAACCTTCCACCCAAGAAGCACAGGCTTCAAAAGTAGAACGAGAACACCTGGCACTCTGCCTAAAATGATTAGACAGCAGCTTCTAGAAATTGAGACAGACATTAGAAAGTAGAATACGATTACAAACTGTAATTAAGTAATGCACTTAAACCCAATTAATTGAGATCAATCATCTTTATCTTGTGGCTCCCCGCTGAGCTGCATGGAAGGTCTGTCTTTCTCCAGTTGAATTGTTTTTAACTTTCAATGCACTCTGTTATTTAATTAAATGAGATTTTTTTCAACGATGAAAAGTAAAGGAATTTTAATTTTAAATAATCTTAACATCTCCCAAGTATGAAACACTACTTGTTTAAAATATCACATACAGGACTTGGTTTCCAAAATTAGAAGTTACAGCCCAAAATTAGAAGCTAATGAGTATCATTAGGAACAGTGATCAAAAAAATTAATTAATTACAATTAAATAAAAGCCTAAAAATAAATTAACAAATTAATCAAATTAATGATGCATGTGTAAACAATAAATTATAAAAATTATATAAAATAATAAAATAAATGAAAGAGATGTAAATTAATAGCAACAAGATATAGTAACTCAGGGTAAGAGGTAGGTATTTTAAATATTATTCTTTGCTGCCAGATAAAATTGGATGCTTAATATGGTTTCTTAGCCATATCAAAGCCTTCTTTATCTATGTGATGAATACAGCTCAAGCCTTTCTGATGCATACAATGTAAAAAACTCCTTTTCCTCATTAGATTACATTTTGATATTGTTGGTAAAATATTTCCACCAATTTTGCTCTTTCCAGAGAAAAGTGAGGCATATATTGTGTCCAGCACCAATACAAATTTTATTGCTGTTAAAGCAAATGTACTACTTATTACACAATGCAATTGAATTGTACAATAAATTACAACAGATGGTCTTGTTTGGGCTCCCTCAGCACTTGCTCTAACTTCATTCAAAATGTGCTCCAGCATAGTAAGAAAGACACTTCAAACACACACACACACACACACACAAAAAAAAAAAAAAAAAAAAAACCACTTTCATTACATTCTGGGAACATTCTAAAAAATTATATTCTGGGGAAGAAATTTTACAAGATCAAAAATGATAGCCTTCCAATAAATGCTTTTAAGTATATGCATGTCCTTTTTTTTCTGGCCCCCCCCAAAAAAAACAGCTGAGTTGTTAGATTTATAAACTGCTATTTCTAATTTTATTTCAAATTAAAACATTTCTGAATGTCTATAAAAAATTATATAAGAGGCATATATTTGGAAAATATGCTTTTTATGTAGTTATGGAATTAATTTTGGGAAAAAAAAAAGATTTTAAATGATACCCTTCAGATACATGCTTTTAAATACATAAAATTTTTTTCCAAAAAATTTGTTTAATTCTTCATGCCCTGTGCTTTATCTGCAAGATACTTTTCTATCTCCAAATTAATAATAAATTTTTTTTTTAAAAAACCCACACTGGCTGAATTGTTACATTTATAAACTGAAATGCTATTCCTAAACTTATTTTACATTTTTTGAATTTATATAATTTAAAAACTACATAAAGATGCACATTTTTAAATAATACAGATAACTCAATAAAATATTTTTTTGAAATTACAATGATAATTAACTGAGTAAATAAATTACATATATTTAGATAAGAAATGTAATAAAACTCTATATTTAATCATGTGTAAAGTTTTAATAAAAATCTAAATGCTATTTTTTTTAAACTAAATTACAAAATTCATACATCAATTTAAAAAATTTTTAGGCTCATGACTTTCTTACTGACCTAAACCATTTTATATCGCAAAATATAAATTTAGGTAATATTTCTTTACTGCCTTTTATGTGCTGCTGCTTTTTGCTATAAGAATCTAAAATATTTTTATTAAAACATGCTATTATCATCCATCCCTGTGATACTCATCCTGTTTACAAGTTTCCTTTGCTTTGCAAAATTAGAACAGTTTTGTTAAACTTTTCAAAACCTGAAATGACATAAATGATAAAATACTAACAATTTACATAGGAAAAGGTTTTAAGCTTCCTCTGAACTTCAAAACAAAATAAGTAAACAAATAAATAAAACTAAAAGAGAATACTATTACAAATGTGCAAACTGTATATGCGTCAACATTTGTAATTTCTTTCCTTAAAATCAGAAAAACATTAAGCTAAGTCTCCCAAGATTTTGTTAAGGGTAAACCAAGGATTATAGAAATATTTTATTTTCATTTAGATCAATCTCACTAATTTACACTGACCTCCTTCCTTTACAAAATGTGTTCTGTAGTCTGAAATAGGACAGCAGTGCATTCGATAGTTTGTTTACATTAACACCATAGAATGTCACCTTACGTTAACATCTTAGATAAAATATCTACAATAGCATTACTATTCTAGGCATTCTACCAATATGTTGGGAAAAATACATATATGAAATAATAGGTAACTGTACAGTTTCAAAAAATTTTAAAAATTTAATTCCCTATTAATAATAAATTTTCCAATTTTCAAAATAATGCTTCTGTAATTTACCATAACGTTGAAATGCATCTCATAGCTTATTTCCATATCACAGTTTTAACAAAAAAATTTATGATTATATGGGTAGTTTTACTTTTTTCCAACTATTTAGAAGCTTAATATAAAGTCTCCCTTATATTATGATAGAAGTTTAATAAAGAAATTTACATAAATATTACAAATGGCAATTTATGAAATACTATCTCTAAACTGTTAAGACATCATTCTATAGAAATTTTTAGCACACATATTTGCATTAATTTTCAATACTGACTAAAAATTGTTGAAAAATACATAACTCTAAAATTATATTTGATGCAAACTAGACCATGGACAACATATAACAGGATTTTATTCTCAACGTATGATAAAATTCGCATCAATAAAGTACTAGTTTTATTCTAAACAACGTTTTTTTTTTTTTTTTTTTTTTTTTTTTAAATGCTTTCACTTAGAAACTATAACACCCAGCTAAATTTGAATTTTTATTCCCAATGTATGATAAAATTTGCATCAATGAAGTACTAGTTTTATTCTAAATAACCTTTTTTTAAATGCTTTCACTTAGAAACTATAACAAGCAGCTAAAATTGAATTTTTACAAAAATTTTCTATTACTATAAATATTTTAAAAATCTACATAAAATTCTTAATATTACAATATAAAAGAATTTAAAACACTTCTAAACTGTTTGTTTTATTTGTGAAAGACCCACTAAGATATGATAAGAAAAATAATTTAATATTTTTGCAAAAAATAAACTGGAGTAAATTAATTTAGATGTCTGAAAATTGTATGAAACATCTTTTACTTGTTTTAAAAATCGTATCAAATTAGATTACTATCTTATATTTCATTTTTTTTTTCAAACATTATTTTCTTCTACTCTCCCTTTGTTTTTGATTCATAAAAATCTCCTACAGAAATGAAATAATTTTAAGCACTTACACACGTATAATACGTGAAATAGCAAACAGGGAATATTTTGTACATGTCTAGTATATTTTAATGAGAAAAACTATTAATTTAACATTATAAAGCAGTATCACTCGAATTCCGACATAAACACAAGAATTTCAGCTTAAGTTACATTTTCAAAACATTAACAGCTACGATTTTTTATATGCAAAAAATATTCGTTTAAAAACAATAAAACGAAACAAGTACATTATGTTGCTCCTACCAAATTGTTAAATTACACAGCTATACTATTTGATATGAATATAATATATTACATAACGAATAAATTTTGGATGCGCTAATAATCAGCTTCAAATTAATACAATAAATAAAAATAATGCCTTTATTTACATTTGGATTTCACTTCCATTCCAACCAATTATTTCGCATAAATCCCATTCATCTCGGTAGAAATTTTATTTAATCTGAATGAACTGTGTTTTAACCTGCATCACTATTATAAACATTAACGTAAAAAAAGTTTAATATTTGCTTATAGCAAATGGGTAGAAATGCACGTAAGTTAATATTATTG